GAACATGGCATTATGATAAATAGTACTCCAAACAGTGGCAAAAAGGTCAATGTCCCATCTTTCTAATGTTAAAATCATTGAACATTTGTCAGGGTATGACCCGCACGTCCAATCATTGCGTTGCATGGCAATTTAATTCTATCAAAGGCTTCAATGGTTATTGTGCAAGAATTGGACAGATGAGAGCATATCTTTCTTGGATTTGGATTCTCTCATGTGAAAAAGTGATCATGTGATTATGTTATTTGGTCACAACTGCTCATTGATGATGAGATAAGAGAGAGAAAAGTGTATGATTTTTAAATGAGTGGTTGTGATCAAATAACATGACCACTTTTCAACATAAGATGATCCAAATCCATCTTTCTTACTGCGAGAGTATCAAATCATTTACTAGAAATATGATTTAAGTGAGAATAATCATGAAAGGAAGGATAAAATAATAAAAGTCATTTATACTACTTTTTTTTCTAAATTTAGTAAAAAATATACTACTAGGGAAATATAGAAGAAATTTCCCACCTATATATGAGCAAGAATCATATTTCCACATGGGATATTTGGTAAGAGAATTATTTTTAGATGTCTGGGAAAGTAAGGGTGGGTTTCTTAGAATCCCATGTTTGATAACACATGGGAGAAATATTTTCTAGAAAAGTTATTTTCTCGGGATTCTATTTTGTGTGTATTTTTTAAACCAAAATACCACCCAAAAAATATCATCCAAAGGGTGATATTTCAAGAATCCCAGACGATGGGAAAATATAGAATAATTTTTAGACAAAAATAAACAAAAATAGTATTAGGAAAATTAACCCAACATTCCCGAAAAACTTAATTTCCCGTCATATTCCTGGATAAAATAAAATTCTCATCTACCAAACACCCCATAAGATGCTGTTACGAGTAGGGGTGTAAATGGGTTAGGCCGGCCTACAGGGGCCTACGACCTAGCCTATATTAGGCAAGATTTGACCTATTACAAATAGTAAAATAGAACAAGCCTAGACTTTTAAAAAAATCTATTTAGAAAACAGACCATAGGCTTTTTTGTACATGTTGGGCCTATAAGCCTACAGGCCGACCTATATCATATTATTTATTTTAAATAAAATAATGATTTTAGTAATTTTAAATAATAAAATATTATTATTTTAGTTATTCTTTTAATTGTTGAATGTTTAATAAGCTTAAACAGGTTAACAGGCCTAGGTCAAAACTTTTATTTTTTAAATATAGGTCATGTCAGACTTGTAATTTGGGGTCTACACAGACTAACAGGCTAGGACAAACGCAATGAATTTTAGACAGGCCTGACCTATTTAAACCAAAACCTAGTCTATTTACACCCCTAGTTACGGGCACCTCTACCAAAAGGCAAACTATGGAATATTTCCTTCTATTGTAGATATATGCCAAATATGTCTGGCAAATTCAACAACAGAAAAACTTGCATTATTCAAAGAGTTTTGTAACTCTCATGTCACTACAAAATTTTAGAGTATCCCGCTGACACAAAAATATGGTGGGATCTACCATATTTAAAAAAAAAAATGCTGCTAAGTATGCGACATGAGAAAATCACTTCTGCTGTGATATATGTGATTTTCCCTTATTCAAAATACCTCAAACACGAATTTTATTTAAGTGGCATCGATTATCATACTTATTAATTCTCATTTTCAGTTTTTCCCCATCTATTTATCATAAAGAGTTTGTTCTTAAATTTTTGTGGATATTTTATTAACCAACTGCCGGCACAAAATTTGGAAATTAGTACTAAAGGCCAACACTTTTTTCCCAATCAACTTAATGGCATAGCTGGTAAAATGAATCAAAAGGAAAATATTTTTAAACATATCAAATTTTAGACAAACTATAATCAATTGGTCTAAAATATAAATGCCGCAAAGCCACTAGGATTGATATAGTCATAAATTTTTTGAATAGTTTGTATCTTTACATGTTCGATTCGTATCATTGTGTAAAAAAAAAAAGCACCATAACAATATAATTAGAGTTTAATTTTTTTTGTCTTTTCTCCTATAATTTAAAATAACATCATTTTTCAACGAAGAGATATAAATTTTTTCCAATAATCGAAAAAATATTAATTATATATATATATATATATCTATATATATATATATATATATCTATATATATATATATATATATATGGCTTTAATATTTCTTCAGTGAAGGTAAATAAGTTATCTACATTCACTCCCAAAATGAAATCGTTTTGAATTGAAAGATTCAAAATTTATAGTGAGAAAGACTATTACAACACTGAAATAAATTATAATTACAAAAATGCATTGATTTTCATCCCAAAAACGACGTCGTTTTGTGCTCAATATAAGATAACTTATTTACATTGACTGTAGAAAAAAATGAATCTTATATATATATATATATATATATATATATATGTATGTATATATGAAAAATGTATTTCTATAGCTAGTTTAGATAACATTATCTACAACTACCCCTTTTTAACAAAATTTGACCAGTAAAACATAGTTATAACAATAAAACTGTTCTTTTTTTCTCTCCTCAGACATTGTCGGCTGACGTGAAGGAAAGAGAAAATGCAATTTTTATGTCTTATAGTCAGACTTAGTTAAAAAAGGATAGCTGTAGAAATGTTTAACCCTCTCTATATGTATATTTATAGCATATTTATATGGCTTATTCGATCGATAATGAAATTTATATGAAAATCCTAGAAGGATTTAAAACTCTTGGAGCATATAAGAATTCCCGAGAAATTTGTTGAATAAAGCTTCAAATATCATTAAATGAATTAAAGAAATAAAGGCATATGTGGTATAGTCGCCTTGATAAAATATTTATTAGTTGATTTATAATTTAAAGAGATTGTACATGGATAACGCAAATCCATTGAGTACCCCAATGGTTATGAGATCGCTTGACATAAATAAAGATCCATTTCGACCCTATGAAAATGAGGAAGAGCTTCTTGGTCCTGAAGTTCCATATCTTAGTGCAATTGAGGCACTAATGTATCTTGCTAATAATACACGTTCAGATATAGCACTTTCTGTAAACCTGTTAGCAAGATTTAGCTCCTCTCCAACACGAAGACACTGGAATGGTGTTAAGCATATATTTTGATACCTTCGAGGAACCACTGATATGGGTTTACTTTATTCAAATGATTATAGACATCAACTTGTTGATTTTGCATATGCAAAATATTTATCTGATCCACACAAAGCTAGATTCCAAACATGATATTTATTCACAAGTGGAAGCACGACTATTTCATGGCGTTCAACAAAGCAAACTATAGCAGCTAGTTCTTCAAATGTAGAGATAATAGCTATTCATGAGGCAAGTCGAGAATACGTTTGGCTAAGATCAATGATGCAACACATCCGAAAAGTATACGGTCTCCAGTTAGAAAAAGAGGTTCCAATAATATTGCATGAAGATAATGCTGCTTGTATAACTCAATTAAAGGGTGGATACATCAAAGGAGATAGAACGAAGCATATTTCACCAAAATTCTTCTTCACTTATGATCTTGAACAAAATGGTAAAATTGATGTTCAACAAATCCGTTCAAGTGATAATTTGACAGATTTATTTACCAAGGTGTTACCTACTTCCAGTTTTGATAAGCTCGTTTACAAGATCGGGATGCGTAAACTCAGAGATATTAAATAATGTTATTATCAGGGGGAGTGAAATAAGTGCTGCACTCTTTTTTCCTTCACCATAATTTTGTCCCATTGGGGTTTCCTTGTAAGGTTTTTAATGAGGCAACTTCTATTACATATTTCTTCTCATCAAGATTATTGGACATCCAAGGGGGAGTGTTATAAACAATTTAACCGTTGGATGTCCAAACCGTTATATATTTTGTCCCATTGGGGTTTCCTTGTAAGGTTTTCAATGAGGTAACTTCTATTACATATCTCTTCTCAACAAGATTATTGGACATCCAAGGGGGAGTGTTATAAACAATTTAACCGTTGGATGTCGAAACTGTTATGACCGTTGGAGACATTATAACCGTTAGAGACGTTATAACCGTTAGAGAAGTAATTGTAGTTATTATGTCTTTCATGTTTTCTGAGTCTATAAATAAGACATGTATAAAGCATCATTGGAATACTGCAATATAGAACAAGAATATATTTCTCATGTCTCTCTTATCTCCATATTTTCTCCTAATTATCTATATTTATTTTACAACAATATATATATATATATATATATATATATATATATATATATATATATATATATATTATTCTAGCGATCTTTTTTTCATGTCTATCTTATTTATCACTTTCCAACACAACAAAGTTAAATTATAATCTTAATAGTAGAGGAAAATGAAAAAAATTAGTTAAGATTCTAATATAATGATGTTAGAAAATGATAGGTAAAATAGACATAAAAAATGATTATATAAGATTAAAAATCAATGCAGTTGCTGTCTTTTATTTACTGATCAACCCGCAATTCAGGAAACCCATGGGCCTGAATACCATGTCCGCAGTACAAGCTTGTTTCCTTGCTGCTTAAAAAAAAATGGAAAGAACAATAATTAACCATCAAATTTGTAACGAATATTTAAAAAACAATAATAATATAGAATAATACTATTTTCACAATTCATATCTAAGTATAGAAAATCCGTTTTTTTTAAAAGAATTATAAGTGATAGTATTTTTATGAACCTATATTTGTTAATACCAAATATAAACAATATTCTACGCAACAAGCCATAAATCAAGGGAGCATCTCAAACAATGTTAGCCTATTTATACACAACTAAAATTTCTATCTTAAACATCCAGTTTAACTCAATTCCTAGGCCAAAAGGTTGGGAATAAAACATCCAAGTATTAAGCAAGCCGCAAAAGGTGTAAGGAACTGGTAACTGAGGAAATCAGTACTTTGAGTGCAACAATTGGGAAGACATCTGCAAGTGAGACTTTCCACATTTCATCGCCCTCTCATAGAGCTGCCATCATGGTTCCTCTGGCAGCCTCGCGCTTCAGTGCCGCAGCCTTCCCACTGCCGCGGAAGTACATGTATACTTGCTGCAAATATAAATCAACTATCAAACAAGAAAGCACAAGTAGAGTCGAAAGAATACCAAGGTACTGCTCGATTATGAAAATACCTGAATAACCCAAATGCTTAGCAGTGACTCAAGGCAGAAAAATCCAAACCCAATAAAGTAGAATATCTGCAATTCAGCACAAGTATTAGTATCATCATTTAAACACATAATCTAATTACCCGAGAGAAAATATACCCCTCTTCTTTGGAACAGAACAATATCCAACTATTGTTGTATGACTCCATATGGAGAAGCTAATAGCAAATTAGAAGCCAAAAAATAATAATATAATTGGAACATACCCCAACCATTGCATTGTCAGCCAACAACTCAATCGCAGGTAGGATACCTCTGTCCCCAGCATAAAATCATACAACAAAACCATTAGTTCGAGTAAAAGTGCAATCACAATGAAAAAAGAAAAATTATTGCCAAAATATAACTGATTTAAGTGATATCTGGAGGAACATGCCTTCATCCCAACACAACAATTAAAAATAATAATTAATATGAGATATTCATTAAGTGCAGTAGACACAAAATCATGCGGGGTAAATTGCCTCCAAATGATGCCCCTTTAGTTAAATAGTTTAGGGACAAAATCCAGAACAGAATCAATTAGAGCGATGATATATCACACAGCCAGATGGAAACAATGCAAAAGCAATTCCTGTAGTAACGGCTAGCAAAATGGGATCAACTTATTCCCAGTGTTTTCCTCACCTCCCAAAGATCAAATCAGTGAAAGAGCAGTTAAAGAAGAACGTCAGGTCACAGATTAAATAAAAGAAAGGCAAGATTAGAAGGGAACTCACGTGAGAGATTTTCCTTTGAAGATAATTGGAGGAGCAACTGCAGCAAAAACGCAAAAGAGAATGTGCAACTGCTCGAAGAAAATGGTAAAAAGGATAAGAGCACTTGACAAAATTAGCGCAGAATGAATGATTACGGTAGAAAATGTGTAAAACTTGCCATGTAACACATGAAAAACCAGCCAAACTTCAGAGCACTGTCCGTCCTGCAAAAGGAGATGGCACGCAACTATAAAACAGAAAAATAACGATTTGGAATGATAAAATCAGGTAAAAAAACGATAATGAAGGGATCCTGAACCTCTGATAATAAAATGGTTCCTTTTCACAATACTAACATTCCAAAAAATGCATTTACATCTCAATGCTTTTTCAACGCAATTTAGTCAAGGCTTCCCACTCTTTCCTCCTCCCGCACCCTCTTCCAACGGAGAAGACAAGATTAAGTATTTCAGAAGGTCAACTTTGCATCCACAAACTTTTATCACGATGACAATATTGCTTTATAGGGTGCCTTTTTGACCCTAGTAAAGCAAAATTTGAAATATCTTACCGTTTAATTATTTTGACAAATAATTTATGAAAAATGTTATATTTATAAATTTTTTATTTATAAATTTAATTATATATTTTCAGAAATAGAACCGGCTACAAATATATTACCAAAAATATACAGTGTAATTTATAAATATAGTTTATTTCATAATTTATTAATTTAACGTGAAAATGTGTTTAAGTCATGCATGAGATGTGTGAGGCTTGTGCAAAAATGAGAACATCTAGAGATATAAATGGACTAGGCCGACCTACAAGAGTTTACAGCCTAACTTATATTAGGTGAGTCTTAGCCTGTTGCAAATAGTAAAATAGTACACATCTCATATAAGCTTTTGTACAAACAGCGCATGTATCCATGCATGACATTAACACAGTGCACATCTTTTCCTATTAAATTAGAGCACGTTTGTTTCACCTTTTAAAAAAAATAATTTTTATCTCTTTTTTATTTTAGAAGTTCTTTTTACAAAAGTTAAAACTATTTATATTTTTATAAAAATATTTAGTTTTTGAAAAAAATATTTGGCTTTTGACTTTTGCTTTTTTTAGAAGTTAAAATTTTTAGCTTCTGGAAAAAGTAGATTTTTGACTTTTTTGTTACTTATGTTTTTTTTAAAAGCAGACATCCAAATAAATTAAAATTGAAAAGTGTTTTTTTTCAAAAAAAAAAAAAAGTTTTTGAAGAAAAAAAAAACCCTATTCAAACAGACCCTTGGTACATCTTTGCCACACAAAAAAAGGAGAGACTAAACTGGTGAATAGTTATATAATTTACTTCCTTGGATCAGAGAGCCTCCTAGTGGCTTACACTATTTCGCATAAACCCGTATGTACATACTTTTGTTACATTTACATATTTGATGCTTCATAACGGTGATAAAACCTATCTAGATACATTGATAATTTTTCCGAGCTTAACAAAAAAGGCTGAAACCAATTGAATATCCATCCGAAAAGAAAAATTAAATTAAATTAGATTAAACTACCTTGCAGCGCGATAAAGAGGGCGATACCACATAACATAAGATCCGGGAGCGCCGGAAATAAAGTATATTATGGCAAGAAGCCAGATTATTGGACCTACAAGGTTAGACAAGTCCGTGTGAACAAACGCATGGTCTACTATGATTAAAGGACCAATATCTGATTTGTAAAACAAACCTTCTCCTTTGATCCAAGCCACAGTAACTGCCACAATATTCCATATAAGACATATAATCAAACCTGCAGATTGTTCCAAAGTTCAAAACTTAAAACGGCCATAAATAAAGTAAGATAAATGCTGACAAAAAGATACTTATACAAGAAATTTTTATTGACGTCATGTCTCCCCAGAAAAAAAACCAGGAAAAGTAAAGAGAAGAAACGAGAAGAGATAACCTTGGCATATACTTATGCAGAAGTTACAACAACATTGTACATGAGTTTCAAAGTCTTTACATTTGTTATGAAATTCATTGAAGCATACGTATGTATATACGTACATGTGTGTAAGTTTAAATAGTAAAAAAGAAAGGGGTATTTTACTAAAATATAACAATCACAACATGTAACAAATATACTAAACTGACATACTAAGCAAAAGACTTGAGTATTTTTTATTTTAAATAATTTCTAATTTCAGTTATGGTTTTGAGCATAAATGAATGTCAGAAAATTATGAAAAACATCAGTATACCCACTGCCTAAGTGTCCAACTTGTGAATTGATACTGAAATCAATATAAGTTGCTAGCTCAACTATAAACTATAGATTAAAGGAAGCAAAAAATATATAGACTTTGTAAATATTAATAACCAGAAAACAAGTAGTTAGTTGTTGTGACTTAAACACAACCCATAACATAAAAATTCTGGGCTTCAACATACCCAACCATGTAGTAAATGCAACATACTGGATACTTTGAAGATGTATCGGTATTTCATTAGCAATGTTATGATGAATGATGGGGAAAAAAGGTGGCCAATTTTTGTCCTCTATAACTATCCCAGCTGCAAAAAAAAAAAAAAAAAAAAATGTAAACCACCAAATTAAAGGCACAACACCTGTTGGCTTCTGTAAGTATAGATGTACTCAAAATACCTCGTGCTATAGCATCTTCCTTTCGTTTTAGCTCCTACAAAGCATCACGACACAAAAAATATTATATAGCAATCGCCAGGCTAACTCATAGCATCATCTAAGTGAACTGATTTGGATTAAAAATATTATATGACTGCTTATTAAGGTAATAATCTAAAAGCTAATTGAAGTACTACCCATGTACTAATACTGATTTGTTAAAATGAAAAAGGACAAGTGACCATGTATCACAGAAATAACATAAGCCACTCTGTCTAACAATTTAGGTCCCTGTTATTTATTAATTTGGACTTAATAGAATTATTTTTAATTTTTGGCAAATATTGAATTTAACAAACCAAGTTCTTATTATAAGTGTTGAGATATATAAAACTATTAATGTAGCCTCACCCAACAGCTTAAACTTTTGGGTTGAATTGGTTCTTTACATGTAATCAGAGTCTCGGTGTACCGGGTTCTTTACAATAAGTAAATTGTGTTTTAAAGCAAGCAAACAAACAAGAAATCAGGATGAATAACCTGTTCCCTTCTTTTCAATTCAGCCTCTCTAGCTTGAAGTTCCTTTTCCTTTGCCTTGATATCCTAAAGTTTTAAATAGCATAATTAAATATTTGGTCAGCAACACTAAGACTTCATAGTTTTGACATTTATCTCAACATTTTCATATTCTAGTCTACCTTTGAGGAATCAAGTGGAATGTCAACAGTTGCCCCGCGATCATAAGGCTCAGGAGGAAGGGGTGAGAGCTTTGATGTTGCAGGGGGAAGACTTCCTGGGTTCTGCAGAAAAAAAAAATGTAGAAAGTTAATGAATGAATAAGGCATTATAATAGATGGCAATATCATATTTTATATGTTTGCAAAACACAGAATTTTAAGGAAATGAGCATGAAAGAGATGCAAACCATGTAGAAAGGAAAAAAGAAAAAAGAAAAAGACATTAAAACAGAAGCAAGATTCCAAATCATTTTTTATTTGAAGACTGTGGTTACTACCACATACTGTTGTGCCACCTTCATGATAACAGGAAACACCATAACAACATATTAGCAAGTCTATCTAAAATTTAGCTCTCCATGATCCTGTGTATATTGCTTTTTCTTGGCCTTATCCCAACCAAACTTTTCTGGTTGTAAACTTGTAGTGTCCTACATACTATGCAATAAAGGACTAACCTTAGTGCACAAAGGCTCCCTATTTTTGCGAGGGTAGGAGTGAGGATAAATTAAACCCAGCTCTATCCTTGCTTTTTTTGCAAAAAGATTGTTTTTCTAGACTCGAACCCGTGATCTTCTTATACAAAGACGTAACCCTACCACTTCTCCAAGCTAGAAAAAAAGTTATGAGGAAAACCTGGGCAGTTACTTGATGAAATTACAAGAAGCAAATACAACTCTAATGGCCTCATGTAACCTACCCTCCCGAAATTGTCTATTGACAGTTTTATCTTATTATAGCCATCCAAGGTCGCACCAAGAAGATCGCCTTAAGATAGTATTTCAGGGAAACTACGTAAAATTTGCTGCTTAGACCCCTTACAAGGAAACCTTGCACTGAGAACATATCTTTTCTTTCCAGCTTCTATTTTAAGAAATCCTTCCCTCGGCTCCTGCATTCAAAAAACAAATGGCTGCACAAACTGACCCAACTTGGTTCCAACTCCCGCGGACCCCCACCATTCATAATGTCTCAGATGAACCTAACATCAGATGAGGTGCCATTCTCATTGTCCATATATTCCTGATATTTCGGAGTTTTCATTGTAGGCTATAAAAAAGGAACTTTTTCTTCAAAGGAATTCCAAAGATACACCATCTGTCCTTACTCCTTTCAAAAGTAAATCCTGTCATCATTTCCTATTTCATTGCTGAGGAAACAGCTGCAACTGCTCCGACCCCCCTGATTGTCTTCCAAAGCCCTATCCTTGAGACTCCTATAACCGGATGGGACATCTATTCCTTTTTTGTACAAGTTACATCCCTAAATCATCAGTTTCATAGGAATAACTCCATGGTTCACTATGAAGTTTTATACTGAGAACTCATGGGTTCCATGGTTCTAGCTTCCCAACTTGAGTGGGAGAGGTATCTTAGTAAAACTAATACCACCCTCGCTTCCTCTCCATTGGAATCTCCTCCTATCTTCATCCCCACAACAGCTTCCACAATAACACTGTTGCCATCTATATATAACTTCTGCAACTGATCCCACAGAAATTACTCCCAATAGTTATTGAACATTACCACTATACCACTCTCACTCCTACATGATAAGAAAATATTAATTCTAGACAACCTACTGACAACTGTTTTGCACTCTGCAACAAGCAAACACCTTCGTTCGATGATAGACCAAAACGAATCAATTAAGTCAAACATGCCATTACTATAAAAACTACAACCTCTATCAGACAACTAGAACTAAACCTTTTTGTCTCGTGAAATCTCAACAAATATACCAGGGGTCCCTTCCGACCTATCAGTATATAAATATATAAATTAATTACAAAGGAGAAAACTCTAGACAAATCAAAGCTTCAACCTTTCAAGTTCTAGATATTAACACCAGTTAAGGTACTATAAACTATGCAATGCCCTTGCTCAAACAAAATACAGAGGATACATATAAAAAGTTAAAGCACACCTGTGCTTCCTTTGTTTGTCAAAATGTGATTAAATAAAGTGTTGTGAGTTAATATAATGGTAGCAGTGAGATGAACGGGAGAGCTTACAGTAGTATAGAATGCACCTCCACCATAATTTGATTGCCCCGACGCTTTTCCTTTAGCTGCTCCACCCTTATTAATGAAAACGCATAATTTTTTATAACTTAAAATAATAAGAAAGCAAAGCTAAAAGAACTCAAAACCTTTTAGAATTATTACGATTGTTAAAAGTAAGTCAATGGTGAAAATAATTTTTTGAAATCGTGAACTTCTGCGGACAAATCTTTGTACGTTCATTTCCAATGGTCTTCTTGATCTCAAAATACGATAATAGATATATAACCAAAAAAAAACTCAAATATCGTTACGTTACGTCGTAGAAACACAGAATGAATGAATCACAGAATTCGAAATCTCAAGTTCTAAGATCTGACAAATGAACAGAGTCTACAACATTGAACAACATTCAAAAGTTGTATTATATGATCAAGCATCTACAGCAAGTATTGCCTATTAAGCTACATTACGAATTTCATTCAATTCATCAATGATCTAAAAAATACCACAAAAGAAAAAAAAAAACGGATCACATCATCGGCACCTCGAATCAAAGGCCTATCATTATAAACAAACATGCAGTTTGCAATGCGAAACACGTAATTCGAGAAAATGTGTTATCTACAATGGACAGAATTATGAAAAGGAACAAAACATACGGCGAAGGGATTAACATCTTCTTCGGCGAAGGGGTTGGAGTCGTAGCTACCCATGGGATTTGGGGCAAAAAACGGAGATCTAGAAAGTGAAGAGAGTTCTAAATCGCAATTAAGAGGAAAAAAGAAAATGAATATTTGATTTGATGAGGTGAGAATTAAGAACGGAATCAAAAAATGAGGGAGAGAGATATTTGTTGTAGTGTTTGGTAAAGAGAGAGAGAGAGAGGCTTAGGAATGAACGGCTTCTCTTCACTCTTGCGATTTTGATGATATAATAGTTTGTTAAGTGGGAACGAAAACTGTTAGAGAAACGAAGAAAGAAACTGGTTCGCGCGAAATGTTCATGCATATCACTGCATCTTATAACGAGCGTCGTGTTCATGCTGCGTCTTTTGTAGTTTATACGGGTTGGCATTTTTTTTTTAGAAAAGTTATAAGGTACGTTTTAAGGTAGAAATTAAGGTATTATCGTAACAATAAATTATCTGTATTTACTTCTAAAACAACGTCATTTTAGGATTGAAAGATTAAAAATTTATAATTATAAAGATTATAATAACCCTGAAATAAATTAAAATTACAAAAAATATCATGATTTTCGCCTCAAAACGACGTCGTATTGGACTTACTGTATATAACTTATTTGCAATAACCGCAGAAAAAATGAACCTTTGCTGTAATTATAATTTATTTCAGGGTTATAATAGTTTTTTTTATTATAATTTTTTAATTTTTCAATACAAAACAACATCATTTTAGAAACAAATATAGATAACTTATCGATATTTACGGTAGAAATATTAAAGCTTTTATTTATTTATTGTTTGTAACCAAATATGTTATAATTGTTGGTAAAAATTTATTTATTTTAGTATAAACATCGTGAAAAAGATTTTGACATCTCAATAGTTATTATCACAATAATAATTATTTTTTATTTTGTATCAATACATGATTGCACGATAATGAATTGCCTTTAAATCAAAATTTGAATTTTTTTTTCATGTAATTTTTTTTGTTGAAAAACAACAAAAGGAAAGTTTAACTGAATTTATTAACTTAGGTCACATTGTCCGAGATTAATTTTAGAATAGTGTTGTTTGTTTTATTTATCTCTGGAGTGTCGTAATTAACAATTTATATAGTTTATGTAGTGACAATTGTGTCCATTGAACTTTTTTCTTTCTTTCTTAACTAATGTTGCCTTGTTAACAGTTGTGCAAGTAATGCGCGTAAGTATACGCGACAACAAGTAATATAGGGCTGTTATAAGTCTCAGTTATCATTCCCACAAGGATCGTTGGCGTTTTGAAATGACTAAAATTTGTAATTGCTTAAAACTGAGTTACTATTTGAGAATAAAAGAAATAAAATTGTAAAGTAAAAAAAATAATCTAGAATGGACCTAAAACACTAATGTTCACTTTTCTTTTAAAATTTTCTGAATTACTTTCCTAAGTTATAAAATAAGGAGTAAGAATGAAGCAATTTTAATGACAGATGTGACAAAGATTTTGGACACAGAACAGAGATTGAAATATGAAATAACAAAGGAAATTAGAAATCTGAGTTGATAAAGAAGTTTAAAAAGGTGGGTTGAGTTCTGGCTCTCCTTCCCCACAGTGCTTGAAAAATAATTTGATTAACAAAAAAACTCATCCTAAGATTCTCAGTTAACAGAACTATATTGTTAATTTTAATCTCTTAAAAATTATTTTATCCCATAGTTGCCCACTTCCATATCTCTATGCCAAGTGGGATTAGGACTCTTGAGACTCAGGTCCAATATTACATGAGGACTCATTCATTTCTGAAATGAGATCCCTTAGATGATTTCTCATCTAAGTCCATGTGTCTAATGCAGAATCCAGAGTTAGTTGTTTCTCAACAACTAAATCCTAACCAAACCTCTGACATTCGGCCAAAATGCAGATAATTTTAAACATTAGAAAAAGCATTAAACAACTGAGATATAAAAATTAAAACCAGAAAATCAAACATTTAACAAGCACTAAGGTTTGGGTATCACCTAAACCCAACCTCTAAAAAGTTAGCCACTATCCATATGGATGAAGCTTACAAACAGTAACAGAGAACTACCGAAATCACAAAATAAAAATTCTAAAAACTAAGTTACAGCACTGGCCTAACAACCGGCAATCTCAGTGCTGTAAAGACATGCATCAAGTTCATCAAATGAACCAGAATCTCATTACAAAACAGAACTTAAAAGAAAAATAAAATAAAAATTGTTCAGAAAGCAAAAACTAAAAAACGATAAATCAGAACCAGGAGAGCAACGCATGACTCACTCCTCAGTCCCTTTTTATAGGGCTCATTTCCTTCTTTGCACGATTTTCTTCTCCAGCTCAGCAGGGGTTACGCGCTTCTCGCGCGTTGCAGGTAGGTGGTCCCCAGCAGCTCCTTCCTCAGACAATCCGAATGGAATTTTTGCTCATTTAACCCGTACGTAGACTTGCGCCCACAAATCGCTCCAGCCTCCACTCTCAAAAAGTATCCAGCTCATCCACTCAGCAAGGGGTTGTTGTTTTGACGTTTTCTGTATAAGGAAAGGGTGACTAGGGTTTGGTTAATCTCTCAATGAACCGTGGTTGAGGGTTAATCTTGACAAATAAACCAAATATAGAGAACGGTTTGGCTTTGCAAATCGATTTGTGGTCAGGAACTTTGGATGGGTGGTGTGGATTTGTGGTCGAATGATGGTCGGTCGTGTGCTAGGGTTTTCTAGCAGCCCTTTTCTTCTCGTTTCTGACTCTGTCTCTTTCTTTCTATCCCTATCTCTTTCTTTCTTTAATTTTCCTTCATCTGGGCTTTTTGATTGACAACAGGTCCAGCCCATATCTTTTCTTCTTGCTTTTCCTTTTCTTTTCTTCTTGCTTCATTTCCTGATGAATGTTAATAAAATGGGCCTATAAAATAACAAGTTTAAGCCCATTAGCACTTAAGCCCATTAAATTTCAGCTCAACATGAATTTTTGGGGTATTTTAATCACAAAAGTCATTCATTTCTCACCAATTACACTCTAAACCATATGTTCTAAGTCTCATTAAAGAGACTTATCAACTAACATTGAGCTTAATTCAAACCACTTAATGATTAGGTTTTTCTCTCTTGATTTTAAGGATTAAGTTAAATATCTTAAAAAGCAAGAACTGATTGAAAAAGTATATGAATTCAATAAAAGTGAATGTTGCCAAAAACAATTTGCATAAAAATCATGATTTTCATGATGAATACTCAATATATTAAAAAAAATTCATTAAATTTTATGAGTAATTTATAAAATGCAACTAGTTTTAAAAGACAATTCTTTTCGGTATTCACGGGAATTTGCATGACGTAGCAGAGATTCTTTGTCTAAGAGCCCGTTTGTTTGAACTTTTCAAAATAATAATTTTTATCTATTCTTTATTTTAGAAGTACTTTTTATAAAAATTAAAATTATTTATATTTTTATAAAAATATTTAATTTTTGAAAAAAATATTTGACTTTTGACTTTTGCTTTTCTTAGAAGTTAAGATTTTTAGCTTTTGAAAAAAGTAAATTTTTGACTTTTTTTGTGACTTATGCTTTTTTTAAAAACAAACATCCAAACGAACTAAAAATGAGAATTGCATTTTTTCTTGAAAAAAAACAGCTTTTGAAAAAAAAAACCCATCCAAACGGATCTTAAATGTAGATTAATGTCAATACCCAATACCTTATACCTACTATAAACGTGCAATCAAATATACGTTAATTTGAACCATAGAATTGAGACCCAATCAACCCCCAACACAAATAACCGTTCATCCTCTTAGACAATAAAATGACAAAAGGCGTTTTCCATTTCACAAATAACATCAATATCAAATTAAAATGCTTGCAAGTGAATAGGTACAAGGATTATCAAAATTTCATTATCAAGGATGAACATAAAATCACTAGGATGCACAACGGAATTACATTTCATTATCAACAACATGGAAGAAGCAATCATCAAACAAATGGGTTAATTACCAGGACACTAACAACATGAACAAAACATGGCATGGTTTAGCGAACCATGAAAAAGATCACATATATATAAAATTATAAATATAACTAGCTAGCTACATGAGTACGAGGACTGTTGGTGGCTACAATTCTCTGAAGTTGATTGGACAAAGCTGCTGGCAGAATTTTGCATTTCAAGGTTGGATGGGTTAGCACTTCATGGGAAGAAATAAAGCATGGAGGCATGTAATTGAACCCTCCTTGGATGATATATATATATATATATATATCTCAAACTAATTGAGATTCAGAAATCAGCAGGAAAATCTTTGCACGTCCATTTTCATGTTCAAATATCACTACCATCTTTTCAATTTTCATTTGATTCATTTTGCTGAGATTCCTTCCTTATCATATTTAATAAGTACAAGACAACCTCTGACATTGCTGGCCTAAATTCTGGCTCCGACTGCATTAGATACATCAATGACAAAAAAATCAATTCCATGGCAAAGAGATTAATAACCTTATCAATACTGAAATTTAAGTTCAGATAATAAAAATCTTACCTGAATACATCTAGAAATAATATCTGCAAAATTTGACAATGATTTGGCAGGGTAATGTCCCTTTAGAGAAGGATCAACCATCCTTGATAATGCATCAATGTCATGAAGTTGATGAATTGCCCATCTCACCAGAAACTGCTCCCCTCGAGGGCGCGTCCTGTCCAAGATGTTCAGAATACATGAATTAACTCCATGATTACGCTGGAATTATATGCTAAAGTACTTTGGTTAAGGGTTCTGTTGGTGTTTCAAGGCTGTTGTTGATGTCCTATTTTTTAGGAGTTAATTAGTTGTTTTTTAAATTGATTAGTCTTTTGTTTAGGAGTTTGTTTACTGCATTTTACTGTTATTGCTTTGTTAGTTTGTTGCTGATTTTGTGGACCAACAAAATCAGCTAGTTAGTAGCAACTGCATGAGCTCAGTTTTGTATTTAAAACAAGTTCATTAGTCAGAATAAAAAAATAAGCTGTTGCACAATATTGTTTCTGATGTTTGTTTTTCTCATAAAAGATCAACATTGGTATCAAAGCCTTCTTGATCTTAAGGGGCTGTGAGTGACTTGAGAAATTAATGGAGGGAGGATCGAGTGGTTTTTCAGCAATGGCTCCACCAATATTCGATGGAGAAAATTATCAAGCATGGGCAGTGAGAATGCAAGCCTATCTAGAGGGTTGCGATTTTTGGGAAGCTGTAGAACAAGATTATGAAGTTGCTCCCCTTCCTGATAATCCAACCATCAATCAGATCAAGTTTCATAAGGAGAGGATAACAAGAAAAGCAAAGGCAAAGTTTTGTTTATATGCTGCTGTCTCACCTGCCATTTTCAGCAGAATTATGGCTTGTGAATCAGCTCAAGCTATTTGGGACTTCCTCAAAGATGAGTATAAAGGAGATGAGAGGATTAGAAGCATGAAGGGGCTGAATCTAATCACACAATTTGAGAGATTGCAGATGAAGGAGTCTGAAACAATTAAGGAGTATTCTGATAAGTTGGTAAATATTGCAAATCAAGCAAGAGCTCTAGGCACTGACCTCTCTGATAATAGGCTAGTGCAAAAGGTTCTTGTCTCCTTGCCCGAAAGGTTTGAAGCAACCATTGCATCTTTGGAGAATACCAAGGATTTGTCTCAAATCAAGTTGGCAGAATTGCTAAGTGCTCTGCAAGCACAAGAGCAGAGAAGGTTAATGAGGCTTGAAGGAAGTACAGAAGGAGCTTTGCAGGCTAAAGAACAGCATAATGTAAGATGGAAGAAAGGAGATGACAGTAGTGGTTCAGAAGCTGCTGCAGGAGAGAACAATGCAATCAACTCTAAGAACAATTGGGGCGGGCATTCCTCATGTAAGCATTGTGGAAAGCAGAATCACCCACACTTCAGATGTTGGAAGAGGCCAGATGTGAAGTGCAGAAAGTGTCATAGGCTTAGACACATTGAAAGGTTCTGCAAAGAAAAAGGAGATCAGCAGCAAGGTGAGGCACATGTTGCAGACCAGCATGAGGCAGATCAATTATTTGCTGCCTCTTGTTTCTCCTCTAGTGCTCCATGTGATAGTTGGCTTGTTGATAGTGGTTGCACAAATCACATGACAAGTGATGAAAAGCTATTTAGAGACCTTGACAAGTCATTGCAGTCAAGAGTGAGAATTGGAAATGGAGAGTATCTAGAAGTGAAAGGTAAAGGGACTGTAGCAATAGAGAGCTATGCTGGAACTAAGCTGGTTTCTGGTGTGATGTACGTGCCTGATATTGATCAGAATTTGCTGAGTGTGGGCCAGTTGGTAGAAAAGGGATTTAAAGTGATATTTGAAGAAGGGAAGTGTTTGATCTTTGACTCAAATGGTCAGGAGCTGTTCAGAATAAAGATGCAACAGAAGAGTTTTTCTCTAAATCCCCTTGAGAAGGAGCAAGCGGCATTCAAGTGTCAGGCTAGTGATTCAGAAATATGGCACAAAAGGTTGGGGCATTTTCATTACAAAGGCTTACTATTCATGCAGAAGAATGAAATGGCAACTGGGTTACCAATCCTGGAGGAGCAGATCACAAGGTGCAAAGCTTGTTTTTTGGGCAACAGACAAGACTTCCTTTCAAAGAATCCACCTGGAGAGCTACAAAGAAGCTACAACTAATTCATACAGATCTTTGTGGTCCTCACGTGACTCCTTCACTAAATGGCAGCAGGTATTTTCTTATCTTCAACATGGAGGAGTGCAACAGTGTAAGTACTCCAATGGGTCAAAAGGAAAAGTTTCAAAAGAAAGATGAATCGGAATCTGCAGATGAAAGAGTTTATAGGAGTTTAATTGGCTGTCTTATGTATCTCACTGCAACTAGGCCAGACATTATGTTTACCGTAAGTGTCTTGTCTAGGTTTCTTAATTGTCCAAGTGAACTGCATATGGTAGCTGCAAAAAGGGTGTTAAGGTACTTGAAAGGTACTCTTTCATATGGAATCAAGTTCTGCAGAATTCAGAAGTTTAAGTTGCAAGGGTATTCTGACAGTGACTGGGCTGGATCAGTGGATGATATGAAAAGTACTTCGGGTTATTGTTTTACATTTGGGTCAGCTTGTTTTTCTTGGTGTTCAAAGAAGCAGGAAATAGTGGCCCAATCAACTGCAGAAGCTGAGTTCATTGCAGCTACTGCAGCTGTAAACCAAGCATTATGGTTGAAGAAGCTGATGGATGACCTGCATTTGGAGCAAAAAGAAGGCATAGAAGTATTTGTGGATAATCAAGCTGCTCTAGCTATTTCACAGAATCCAGTATTTCATGGAAGAACAAAGCATTTTAAGATCAAGTATTATTTTTTGAGAGAAGTGCAGAAGGCTGGAGAAGTGAAGCTAATGTACTACAGTTCAGAAAACCAAATTGCAGATATATTCACCAAGTCATTTAATGTTAGTCGATTTGAATTTCTCAGGGAGAAGCTAGGAGTGTGCAGCACTTGATCCAGGAGGAGAATGTTGGTGTTTCAAGGCTGCTGTTGATGTCCTATTTTTTAGGAGTTAATTAGTTGTTTTTTAAATTGATTAGTCTTTTGTTTAGGAGTTTGTTTAGGAGTTTGCTTACTGCATTTTACTGTTATTGCTTTGTTAGTTTGTTGCTGATTTTGTGGACCAACAAAATCAGCTAGTTAGTAGCAACTGCATGAGCTCAGTTTTGTATTTAAAACAAGTTCATTAGTCAGAATAAAAAAATAAGTTGTTGCACAATATTGTTTCTGATGTTTGTTTTTCTCATAAAAGATCAACAGGTTCTCACCTGTCATAGGACTGACGGCCTGTCAAAAGTTCTAACATAACAACTCCAAAGCTGTACACATCACTCTGGTAAGTGTAAATTCCTGACTCAAATTCTGGAGCCCCATAGCCATAAGCTGTTAGTAGTTGTCCTGAGAGCTGAAAATGAAAATGCAGGGAATGTAATCAGACTGTTTATAATGAAAATTACACTGACAAGTATTTTATGGAATGCTACTGACCATTGAAGTACTATAGTTGCACCAACTACTTTAGATGGAACAACCAAATACCGCTTTTATATTTTACACAAAATTTATCTTGAAAAATTGTGTATTTAATTGGAGAAGAGTACATTAGGAGGATTCACTTTTTGAGTGAAAATATTAATATTCGCATGCCTATGCTAATCATTCCAGTGCGGAGTGATTGCTTCACAATGATGCTTTAAAAAATACATAATTGAGTTATACGTAATGGGAAATTACCACAATCAAAATTGGCTATTAGGGAGGTTAGTCCACAAGAAATTTATGTTTTTTGTCACAGAACTTATCTTACCATTTCCTTCTTAATGGGGAAACATTTTTTAATAATATCTAATAATCTCTTACCTGACTTACAGAACCTTTGGTTATCAATGGAGCCAAACCACATTCAGATACACGCACGGATAGATCATCATCAAGGAGAATGTTAGCGGACTTGAAATTTCTGTGTACAACAGGTGGCTGACATTGCTCATGCAAGTACCTTGATAGAGGGGGACAACATCAAGTATTAGATTCAGAAAGTTCCACATCAAGAAGCATTATGGGTAGCTATTATATTTTAGCAACTTAAACTTTAGAAAGTTCTAGTATATATACAATAGCAAGTTTATTAATCCCATGTTTTTAGCAAAAACTTCCAGCATTAAATTAACCCACTGAGGGATACTTAAAAATTCAGGCAGGACAACCTAAATTTGAAAATGAAAACATTGATCAACGATAAGCTACAAATCAACAACTGGGGGCAAATATTTTGTCTTAATGTCAATAGTTACTTGACTTACTCTAAGGCTCTAGCTGCCCCAAGTGCCATCCTAATGCGAGCATTCCATGACAGTCTTGTTTTGAATTCATCATTTGAATGGAGGGCATCCTTCAGTGACCCATTACTGCAGTACTCGTAGATCAGAAGCCTTTGACCGTGCTCTAAACAGTATCCAACAAGCTCAACAATATTTGCATGCCGGATTCCGTCAATACTGTTCACCAATTCAAGAAATTCATCATCCTTTTGCTGATCTGAGACTCTCTTGTCTAGTTTCTTGACAGCAAGTTTCTAACATTCATACAGAAAGAGTATGTGTCAAGATTCGAATCCAATCAGGGCATATATATAATTTACAAGACTGTTTGAGCAAGGGAAAGAGAAAAATAGAGAAATTTGAAACAAGAAGTTATTCAAAACATGTGATGGACAAATATCCTTTAGCCAATTAACATGTCATTCAGGAAATGTCTTGGCAAAAATATTGAAAACAGAAAAGGGCAGGGAAAGACACGTAGCTAACCCGAATCATGAATAAACAATTTTCCTTAAAACGTTTTTGAAGTTCTTCAAGATTCATACATCTAGAAGGATCCTCTATAGTTGAGTTGGCTCAAAGAAGGGTGGAGTCATTTATTTATATTTTATACACTGCATCTAAGGGTGAGGAAGACTTGTAAAAGAAAAATTAAGTTCAACAAATGTGAAATACACATGTTATCATGCTAGCACAACCCATCGGAGAACAAACCACAACTCAAATGGATAAATAAAGTCATGCTTCTTTGCCATGTTTCACCTCACAGACAAAAATGACTGTCATCTATCCATCAAGATAAAAGAACATTTGAGAGACTACACAAAAAGAAATCACATTAATGTAATATTACTAGCTACCTAAAGGTGATTAAAGTTTAGGAAAACAAATCATAACAATGGATTAGACAGGGCAAACAAACAAAAAGCTAGTGTGTGTACTCTGTTTCATCATTACATTCTATATAAATCAATGCAACTGATAACCAACAATCCTACCTTCCCATCTGGAAGCTCTGCCCTATATACACTCCCCAGCATGCCTAATCCTATAAGATTGTCTTGAGAAAAGCTATTTGTATACTGTTGAAGGAATGCAACGGTGAAAGATTTAGCAAAAGTGGGAAGCACTGGACTTTTTTTGGAAGGATTGATGTCAGCCCCTCTGCGGAATGTGCTTGGCTCAACAATCACCGTCTCAGCAGGAAGTGGTGGAGGAGGTGGAGGTGGAGGTGGAGGTGGCATTGAATATACACCTAGTGCATTCATATCTATTGCATGATCTAACTGATTTGGTATTGTTCCCATTCTTTGCATATCCTTCTCTTGCTCATCTTGTGGCTTTGGAATAGCCCTCACTTTCCTTGTCTCTGCTTGATGATCCTCTTTTGATCTCACCACAGCTACTTTTGGTACTGCTTTTGAAAAAAAATGAGAATGTGAAATGGTTATATAGGTGAAATCCTTGCAAGGACAAATTAAATGTTAGAAAATATATATATATTTGCCTTTCTCAGTTTGACTCGGTGGTTGGACTAAAGCCCCGTAATCCCTGGGATTAGGTCTTTCACCTCCATATGCACCATTTTGATGTTGCATGGGAATTCTGTCAACCCGTTCCCTTCTGCTACATTTTGGAATAAAGAGAACTAGTCCCAGTAACAAAATAATAAGCAACAATACACCAGCAATAGATATCCAAACCACCCTTTTGGTGTTATTCTTCGATTTCCCAGAATTTGATTGCTTTACTGCAGTTGGTCCAGCAGCCTGTTTAGTAGGTATGCGTCCAGAAGATGGCGACCCAGAAACTATAATTCCTGATGGGGGAGCTGTCACTGGAGAGCGAGGTGGATGAGCTGGAGCTACAGTAGCATTGCCAATAATATCAAAAGGGTTTCCACTTTTTCTGCATCATAAAAATCACCATGAGTTATTGAAGCATATATATCACTCAAATTTCTGATGTGACAGAAATCAGCAAAGGAACAGAAAATAGAGGAAACATTGATTAAGGAATAAACACTTTATTTTTCTAATATAGATACAAGATAGCTGCAATAACAATAATACTAATAATAAAACTCCCCTTCGAGTCCTGGAAATACATCAATAGTATAGTGGCCACTTTCTTCAGTGAAGTTTACAATTTATCATGATCCTTATTTTGACAAGTATTATAATCCTTCTTCAAACCCAATCCAATTTAAATTACAAAGGCCAAACACTTGCACATTTAACAGAGACACATATATTTCGATTTATACACCATATTTTGATCACACAAAAATCCTGCATCACAAATTATTTGGAAAGTTTGAGTGCAAAAAAAGAGAGGAAGAAAAACACATATAACTCATCAATTGCACACTGACTATTACACATCTGAAATTATATGCCTCTAACCCTGGAAACTTGAGACCTATATTAGTTTACATTACATGTGTGGTTTCTATTGCCTGATTGTATAAATGGAGGTAGCATATGATTGGTTGTTTTCCAGAAATGCAGTGCTATATGGAACTATGCAGAAAGCCCTGCCAAACTATTTTTATTTTTCTATCATCAATTCCCGCTTTTTGCTTAATGGTGAAACTGCAAACCTTCGGAATTAACAGGATTGCAGATATCTTCACAAAAATGTAGTCAAAAACGAGTTCCATGTCCATCTTCACATTTCTAACTAGCAAATTATTTCATTTAAGCAAAAAGAAGCAAATACTTTATGTTTTAAGGTTTTCACCTGAAGAAAGGGATGCTTAACATCTTTTGAGGTATTGGTCCAGAAAACTGGTTGTTCTCGATATTCCTGCTCAAATAGGGTAGAATAAGCACGAATTTAAAAAGAGAAGGAACTTAGCTGAAAAACTAAAAAGATGACATTAAATCCTATCATTCCATTTTTCCATAAGTTTTACAACCCATATCAAAAACAATTCTCTAAACTTATAAGTTAAAATTAAATAATTAGTCCCAACAGTTTCGCTCAATTTAAATTTTGGTCCTCATGATTATTTTTTATGGATGTTGCCACATTGATCTTTATAATTTCATTCATTTAAAATTTTAATTCCTGTCATTAAAGTATCTATTTCAATGTTTTCTACTCGTTTAGATTTTAATCCTTATAGTTTTTAATCATTAAAATATTGATCTTTATTTTTTATGAAAAGTAGGTCTTTATAATTTTTAACTATTAAAATATTGATCTGACCAAAATCTAAATAGGTAAAACTATATCGATTAAATTTAATCAAATGAAATTACAGGGACTATAATTGTTTATTTTAACCTAACTAATATCAATCAAAATTTATATGAAACAAGGTTAAGATAAGAGAACTACAAATTTTGCAGTAGAAGGCCTTCTAAAACATCAAGGGTCCCAGACAGTTTATTGTTCTGTAAATCTCTGCCAACAAGGAAAAAATCAGATTGATTGAAAGAGACCAAAGAAATAAGTTCATAAAATTCATCTTACTAATACAAAATACTCACAAGGAGGTCAGTGCTGACAAATTCCCCAGAGACGGAGGCAATTCCCCACTTAAATTATTATTTGATAAATCTCTGCACAGCAAATATTGGCTCGTCAAATAAGTTTTATGTAAAATGGAGCGCAAAGAATCTTCATTCAACTTTAAGTGTGTGTGTGCGCGCGCAGGCGTACGTGTGTGTATATAGTTGAAGGAACAGATTGAAATGAGGGCCTACAGATTGGTCAATAGCACAAGAGACTGAAAAGCATCTGGTATTTCTCCAGTTAAAAGATTGTCATTAAGAGACCTGAAAGGATATAATTCAATCTCATTTAGATAAACTTGCAATAACAGTTAACATCAGCTATCATAGAATTTAATATAAAAATAGATAAAGCAAGAAACTTACATGGCAGTCAGTTCGGTCAATGTGGATAAAGAGGTTGGAATACTTCCAGAGATTTGATTATCAGAAAGAAAACTGCAAAAGCACAAACCATCATGCCGTTTTGCACAATTTGTTGGAAGAGGTAGAATTACAAAAGTAGGCACCACATACAAGTTTTGCAAGGTGACTGGCAAACTGGATGGAATAATTCCCCCAATGTGGTTGTTGCTCAAAATTCTGCCCCAAAAGACATGAAGCAAATAGTAAAGGTGATGCAGAAGAAACACTTAAGAAGGATGACCACTGAAATTCAAAAACTGGGGAAATGCAATACACATGTAAACATATACTAACACATGTAATTACTCATGCCATTCAGGGAAAGCAAGCCAGCAAGAGTGGAGACGAAAGATAGTGTGCTATTTACATTTTTCTGATAGAAACAAATTCTCCCAAGCTATCCCCCAGTTCTCCTCCCAAATTTGCACCACTCAGAACTCTGTGGTACATTAAATGATAAGAGAGCTAATAGTCATTTATTTTGAGCAATATCAATCAAAATGAAGAAGCAAGAAAATTTGATAACATACATTTCCTGTATGAGTGAACCATTACATAGAACGCCTTGCCATGCTTCTCCGCAGGGGTCTCCCGCACTAGAAACCCACCCAGGAAGAACAGGGTTGCCCAAAGCAGTATATAATCTATTAATTGCAGCAACTGATACAATTGCAAAAATTTAGAACTCTCATAACAACAGCAGATAGATGAAAATAATCAAGAATATGTTGAGAGTAGCAATTCACTAGCCCTGCATACATTGGTCTAGAGGCAGGAACCACAAGGTTATATAATTTTGATTTGAATGAGAAATATTTGAGCATACTACTGAACAAAAGAGGCACAGGAGCACAAATTCAACACTTCAGTTTTGCAAGGGAGGTAGATTGAAAACCCAAAGCATCACTGTAGAGGAAAAATGGGGAAGACAAAAAAGGGAAAGAATCATTACCATCAATGGGATTAGTGTCTGCAAGTGAAAACTGGACTATGCAGATAAACATAAATCCCAATAAAATTTGTCCATGGATCTTCACTCTCTTGTACAGTGAATCAGATCTCTCCTCACCCATTTTTCTCCAACTCAACCTTAATCTTCAGCTTAATTACTCCTATCTGCTGAACCCAATCACCAAACCATCCTCCTTCCCGACTGAAAATTCAGCAAGTACCCTGAAAATTCAATCCACCAAAACCGAATTGCATAACTTTTAAGTCAATCAAGCAAAAACAACAACAAAAAAAGAAAAAAGAAAAAGAAAAAAACCAAGACAAACCCATCATTCTACAAGCACAAAAAAAGCATAAGAAAAAGTAACACTTGAGTATTATACATGCGCAACGAGAGATGAAATCTGAGAAACGAAATGAAACTTACTTAAGAAAGAAAGTGAAGAAGTTTGGGAGGTAATGCTGAAAATCTTGAGACGAAAACAAAACCGGGAAAAGAGATAAAAGAAAAAAGGTTTGTGGAGTCTGCAAAATAAACTTAACGGCTAAGATTCAGAATGAGATCAGTAGTGGGAGAGGGAAACGGACACACTGCATTCTGAGCTTTTTTGGCTTATAATTATAATAATGAGTGTGATTAAAAAATAATGGTAAAAACCCTAACCTTTAGAAAAAGCTGGAAACAAGGGAAAAGGTTAAGGGGTGTGGAAAAGCTTCACCGAAGGATGTTCTGTTCTGTTCTGCAACACACTCACTCTCACTCTCTGTGTATGTTTCTGGGTATGTGTAATGTGTGTGTGCGAGCAAATTGCCAAGTCATACATATCTTCTATGGGGAGTCTCTTAGTAAGGTGAAATTAACGTTGCCACGCTCCCTCATCAACGCGTACGGTTTCTCTGCCATGCCATGATGCTGCCTTTGTTTGATGTTTTTAATAATGGTGTCCATAGTCCATACTATGTTCCTGTGCCTTGCCTTGTCTTGTCTTTGTGTTACAACGAGTCAATTATTTGTCAAACTAGCATATGTTCTTGCATAAAGAATAATGAACCATAGCTTCTTCTTTTTTGTGATTTAGTGGAAATGAAATTGCATTAATGACAAAGACTCGTGATGGAATTGTTGTTGATGTGTTATCATGTAAGATTACATCCAATTCCTTGTCATTAAATATAATTTATGGAGATTCGGTTTTTTTGCTAAGCTTGGCTCACTTTTCTTAGCACATGATTCCCCCTTTCCCCAATGTTTTTATATTACTATTATAATGTCAGGCATATATGCATTGCTATATTTTAGTGGGGTGTTTGAAAATAAAATTCTTGGCTATACAATATTTTTCAAATTTGGAGCAAATAATTTCTCAAGAATCAGCCATGACTCGTGATTTATTGTTTGATTTCTACTAACTTATTTTTCTATCATTGTGGAATGAATGATGGTGTGCTCGTGGGCATCGCGTGCTGTGCCTGCGCGTGAGTATGTATTCGATGGAAAAATGTTACTGAGAATTTTAATTGAAATTGCAAGAGAACTGTTAAGTACTTTTTGACTAACGGAAACTTGTTCCTTAAGTAGTACGAACTACGAAGATTATTTAAAACATTTTATGAGAACATAGTGTAAATCAATTTTAATGTTACTATATTATTATACTTACATTATACAAAGTTACATGATTGAATATAAATAAAATAAAATATAAATGTAATATCAGTATTATCTTAAATTAACTATTTCTTGTATTTTTAAGATGATAATCATAAAATATTTTGTGAAAAAAATAATATAAATTATTACTTATTACTTGAAAGTCAAATTTTAAAATTAAATAAACAGAATATGTATAAATATACATGTTAAATAATAGAAACCATTAAAATAATTATAAATTAAATATATTAATTGCATGCCAATGTTATAAATAAGTATAAAAGAAAGTAATATTTTTTTAAAAAATGATAATAATATACAAGATTTAACTTTTTTATAATTACTGTATAAAAATTTATCTGTCACTCTCGTAACAAAAAAAAAGAGAATGAATCTCTTAAAATATAATTTGTGTCAAAAATTTTGCCTGTATACTTTGGAAAGGATTTGCCTGTAGACTGCATGATAGATAAAAATTTCTATTGCAATTTACAGAAATAATTTTTCCCAAAATAAATGAAGTTATGTACATGGGTAGTTTTCTTACTGTGAAATTCACGTAATTAGTACAAACAGTAATTTGTACAGGAGCCGCCAGTTAGTCTGTGGTCTTCACGTGTTCGACCGAATCATTGTTATCGGCTTTGTGTCAGAAATTCAATGCCCGCTAAATTTTTGAAGATATCTGTTTGTGTTTGTGGCTTTGTGCAAGAAATATGAACATATCCGTTTTTTTAATGAAAATGGAGTCTTCGTATATGTTAATTAATATCACTATATTATATAAGAAAACTTTAATCATTAATAATTAAATTAATGGTAATAATTTTATAATTTTTTTATTATATTTTTTTCACTCTTTTTTTATTATCATTAATTCAGCCTTATATAATTAAAAATTTCACGTAATATGATTATATTAATTAATACTCCACTCCAGTTTTTTATTGATAAAAATTACTACTAACACATAAAGACATTAGTGCCAAATAAACAAACAAAAAATAAAATGTCTGGCTAAAATTTTGTGTTTTGTATATTTTTTAATTTTTATTTTTTTTAGTATTAGTAACAAATAAGAAATATATATATATATATATATATATATATACACACACACACAACATTTTACCCACTGAAAAGATATTTTATTTATAATTACTTTTAGCGGTAACAAATCTGTTCCTAGTATGTATTCATTTCTTGAAACATTTTATAAATAAGTAAAAAAAATGGAAACTTGTTCCTTGGATAGTTAGACGTAGATAACTGTTGAAAAAATTTATTTCTGGAAACACTTTACAAATAAGTAAAAAAAAAATTGTAACAAATTATTTATTTTGACAATTGTTTTTGTTAACGGATTTCTTGAAGCAATGATGAAATTTAAGATTAGCAAGTGACTCAGTATTAAGTTAAAAGACGAGACAGAGATAACATTGTAGAATTGAAGTTATGAAGAAATATTTATATCTCTTAATATTTGACACATTTATTGAAATAATTATATTTTTAAGTTAACTTTTATTTTAATTCTCTAATAAAGACACAATTATCTCAATTTATTTCTCTAATAACAAAAGAAATAAGAATTTTAATATTATTTAAAAGATTAATCTGATGTGAAAAAATGACATTGAAAAAACTAATGCATTTATTATTAAAATATTAAACTAGCAATATCTGTATACTTGCAAGCATGCCTAAAATAGTTGCTTAGAAACTCACAAGCACCGAAATGGAGAGAAAAAAAGAAATGCATATACAATACAAAAGGTTTGTCGGTTTTAATCTTTATCCTACCCCAGCTCTAGCTGTCATTCATCATCCAACTCCGAATCTCTGCGATACCAGATTCTCTTTTCAATAGCTAGTGTCAACAAATCAAATAAATTAATAAACAATTCTGCTTTCGGAATTTAGCGTAATTAATTGAAGTTGATTGTTGAAATGAATAATTTTTAAAGAATTTTTTGGATCTCATTTTAGAGAATATTTTAAATCGAGTTAAATAAATATCTAAACGTACCTTCATGTTAGCTACATTATTTTGTTTTATTTTTTTAATTATTTGATCCACAATTCAAATTCCACTAAAGCTGTTTTCTTTAATGTAAATTTACATTTACTTTCTTCAGATGAGAAAAGCTATTAGAAATACGGATTAAAGGTGACAAAAACTAAAGGCCAACACATTTTCATGCTTTTTTTAGTATCCGATGAATGCCAAAATCAATGGGCATCTTTGACAATACCATCGTCCTTGGCTGTGACGCAGATGGGTGTACCCACACAAGAAGACAAACAGACTACCAATCCAGACGCGCAACGTGTTGTTATGCTTTGATTCCTCTACCTCTGTGCCACCAAGGATATTATATAGAGAAAAGATCTTTTGACTCTAGAGTAAGACTTATAATTTTTATTTTTCATCTCAACCGTTGATTTCCGTTCATCTAACGGTTATTATTTATTTCAAATAAATAATTAATTAGTTTACTTAAGGAAAAATAGTTTATTTTTTAAAATGATTTAAGATATGTCTTTTTACTCTTTTATAATTAGGTATTTTTCTGAACATATAATTATAATATTAAAGTTATAATTTTTTTTATCCCAGCCAATAATTTTTAAAGAAAAAAAATATAATTTTAATATTTTAATATATATTTCAAAATATATTTTTCCTCAATTAATATATAAACGGTAAACAAAAATTCTGAGATAATTTATTTTTTATTTTACGGAAAAGAAAAGGGGGGGTTAAATCTTATTTATGAAATGCAAGCAGAGTCGTATTCTGAGGTACTTTAAGAATGAATATTTATCTACGGTTTATTAGCTTAGAAAATATAAATTCAGCCCACGTATATTTTAACTGTTCAAGATGTAAATAAGCGAATCTCTGATCTATTTGATAACACCCATGACAATAAAAAGGCAGGAATATGAAATTTCATAGGGTTGTTACGAGTTCATACTTTTTTTTTCCTTAACATCACTAAATGTTTCCACAACTAATCTTTAATTAATTGGAATGTTGGCTTGTGACTAATTACAAAATATTTTTAGTGAATGTTGATTTCCGATAAAGTCCACTTAAAAGAAGTTCAATTTATTAACTAAATCATACATCGAGGTTAATATGCTTGTTTCTTTATTTGTGTTTTACGTTTTGAGATAGAATTCAATAAAACCTTATTATATCCGATAATATAAAAAATATAAATATATAGCTACGCGTGAATGAAAAGTTAACTAATAATATCAAAAGGAATCAAAATTACTTAACTAGCAATACTTTTATTAAGGAGTATTTTACTAATCCCCAAATTGAACCAATTACTCACTTACGTTTGCGCAAATAGTTAACTCGAAACATCATTAGATAGTTTGAACTATACTTTTCCTTAATGAACACGTACAATAACTAACTTTCATGACCTAACGCTTTTTTTTTTTTGGGTGCAAGTTCATGACCTAACACTTAACTGCTTCATAAGGACGCCACAATCCCTAACCCCTAAGAGCGCAAAGAATGTTGTTAGTTCAGAAAAATAATCAAGCCCTTCATGACGACACCTTACGCCGGCCCAAAGGAGTCTTTCAATTCGTTAAGGGAATGTTTGTCACAGGAAAAAAAAAATTATCTTGAGAAATAATTATTACTGGAATGTAGAGGGAATATATTTTATTGAAATGTTACTAAAAAGCTATTTGGTAGACTCAAATTTTCTCGGAAAAATGAAATTAATTTTACTGAATTTGTGTTTGGTTGGTTATGAAATATTAATGGGAATATGAGATTATTTTACCAAAATAACCTCACTTTTATCTTTTCATTCAAAACATAGAGTCATTTTAGTCTTTCTTTTCCCACTTCGATTTTCTCTTTCCTGAATAGCCAAGAATTCTTTATTTTATTTGGAACTCTAATTTCGCTTTCCGTACCACAATTAACAAAGAAGACCATTTTTCAGGAATGAAATGTAGCCCAAGTCGGATACCAAACATGGTGATCATATTTGTCTATCTCAGCTTTCCCATGATTTCTCAGAAAAGTCACATACCAAACACGCCCTAAAT